TTTTTTTTTTCCTTGCTTGGCTTCGGTTTTCACTACATTTTTAAATATTTTAAAAACCAAAAAAAATTTTAAAAAAAAAAAAAAAAAAAAAAAAAAAAAAAAAATATATATATATATATATATATATATATATATATATATATATATAAACTGTCAAACGTACATTACAACTTACACTAGATTACACTTTAACCACTACATTCTTTTTTTTTTTTTTTGCATGTGAATATTATTTGTTTTGTGCTGGAAACTGGTTCTAACAATTAATATACTGGTACGTTACTGTATTTACTGTCGCTTATTACTCGTTTGTATACTAAATGAATGCTCACTGAATGTCTTCTCGATCGCTTATTATTTCGAAAGTAGCAAAAGGCAGGGACTGCGCTGAGCTGTACCAGGATGGAGCTAAAGTGAGCGGTGTATACACCATTACGCCCTCTAACGGTACTTCTCTCGACGTCTACTGCGACATGGAAACGGACGGCGGGGGATGGACGGTAATTACATGCTGCTTCATACAATCAACGTATTATGAGCGACATAAATTTAGTTATACTTCGTAGATTTTGTCTGATTTTGAATAAACTGGGCGGGTACACGGCATTTAGCCCGATCAACTTTTATTAACTGTCAAATGATTCAATGAGACGTACCATGGATTGACATCTTGGCGCTTTTATGTAAAACACCTTCCTTTTTTAATTGTAGCAAGTTTCCTTATGGGCTGTACTTTGCTGCGGACTGAGAGTAGATAAAATCTAAATTTGCGTCTTCATATCCTTACAAATATATAAGTGCGGCATTAAAACCAAATAGAAACTTCATTTGATTGCCAGGTGTTCCAAAGACGCATGGACGGCACTGTTAACTTCTTCCGCGGCTGGGAGGCATATAAACACGGGTTTGGAAATCTCAACACAGAATTCTGGCTCGGTAAGTTGTTCAGGCACATGAACCTATTCTCTTTTCTTGTGCACCTCGATATCTGCTTATTGCATGGATTCAGCCGTAATAGAGATAATTGAATGTCTCTGGATTGTACAAGCAAAGTGGGGTTTTGTACAAAGGGTCAACCATGCGCTGTTTTCTCAACTTGATTTTGATTTCGGCAAAAGTAAAGGGACGGCATTAGCTAATGAATTGCCTACTGTTTTTAAGAATTCATATACAGTAACCCATTAAGGGCCTTGCTGCAAGTTTTCAATTTTGAAGCTTCTCAAAGCAAACGTAGCGACGCAAACATGTCGCCTTTGCCAAAGATACATGCACGGCCATGGCGCTTTCGCTTATTTTGAGGTAATTTGAAAGCATGCCTATTCCTATGAGGCACCTTAACCTTACAGTACATATGTCCAATTGCCTTACAAGGAAATGAATACCTGTACCAAATGACCAACGCAAGACGCTACGAACTCCGTGTTGATATGGAAGACGTTGCAGGGAGCAAAGCTTACGCCCAGTACGACTACTTTGCCATCGGATCCGAGAAGGAAAACTACAAGTTAGTAGTGGGAGTCTACAAGGGAACTGCAGGTAAGATAATAATAATAAGATAGTTCGTCAACTTGTACGCCAAACTGTTGAAATTTTTATGGCTTGATGAAAACGCACTTCCTTTGCATCTTTTAGGTCTGCACGGGTGACTCGTTAATTTTCTTGAATAGAAATTTCATGTAAAGCATTAAACTTTGAATCTATTTTATTCTAGGCGACTCGTTATCGAGCCATAATGGATACGCCTTCACAACGAAAGACAAAGATAATGATAAATATTCCTCAAACTGTGCCGTCCGGTATAAAGGCGCCTGGTGGTATAAGGCTTGCCATGCGTCCAATCTGAACGGTCTGTACCACCTTGGAGCTCATAGCTACTCTGCTGACGGCGTAAACTGGTACGCATTTAAAGGCCACAACTACTCCTTGAAAAAAGTCAACATGAAAGTTCGCCCAGTTGACTTCAAGTCAGCTACTACTTTCATCGGTTGATTTTTTAAATTTAATTATTTGGTATAAGTGTCCCATTCTGTATCGAAGGTGGTACTGCTAATAAAATGTAATAACTTTCAAGCAAGTGTTGTTCACATTTCTTCACGAAGCTCATTTTTTGGCTAAGTGTAGCTATTATAAAATACCATGCTGTACGCATAATAATTTTTCCTAATATAGTGAAGGACACCATACACAAGTCCTGGTCAGAAGTAATTTTAATTACTTAAAATATTCTATACATTAAGTGTAGCATCTGTGTTGTCAAGGAAAACAACATTATGCTCTTAAAATGTTTTTGTCATCACGATTTTTTCCGTAAACCATGAAATAAGAACGTTACTGTTTCGTTTTCAAATCATGTTGCGTGTATTTCCATAGTAAATACGAAACACGCAGTTCCAGCACACACGTATTCACCAAATATGAGTTTTTTCTGAGTGAGGCATTATTCTGCTAATATCACAACATGGGCGTGACATCGCAAGAAGATAAGTCCTCAGTTCGCAAATGAATCTGATGACAATCCATTTGTTCACTTTTTGCAGCCTATTTTTCACTTTTTAAAGTTTTTTTTTTGCTAGTTCCGAGTAAGTTTTCGTATAAATGTCTGACTCTCTGTATCGGGGAAAAGAGTGGATAAGTAAGTCCTGTTACCGTAGACAACCTCCTGGGGATCGTAACCTGAAAATGAATTATTGATATATCAAAATGGTTGTAGCACTGATTCCAAAAACGGAAAAATACATACATCAATATGCTATGATGTGGACTACGTGTTACATCAAATATTGTGAAGTATACTATCAAATAAAGCACAAAATATTTCTGTGGAAGCTCGCCTGTTTAAAGTTACCTGTAGGCCTACTTGTGTGACGGGGCCAGCATGTTTAATCAACAATATCGGACCAAAGAAATATAGTTTATATTGGTACAATGTACGTAGTTCTATCAAATGCATTGCGGCTCTTTTTTACCTGGAGATGAAACAACACTCATCAGAGCGTAAGACCCACTATCCTTATTAACGAGTTCAGCAGCAAACCACGTGTATCTTGAAATCGGCATTTGGAACTGCGCACGCGTATCTACTGCGTGGTCCCCAAGTATGTATGTGGTATGCTTGTTCACAGTGGAGTGAGACAGTGTGTGAATCTGCATATCGAAAAAATAACAAATACTTTAAATAAAGAAGCCACCCAGCATGCACGTGACCCGTCGATTAACGAAATATTGACGCTTAAACGACGTCGAGTGCATGCTGGAAGGAAGCGATGTGAGCTCTAAAATGGTCAAAAGTAAGAAAATATATTTCTGATTAGATAGTCCTTTAAAGTTTATTTTTTTACTTCTAAACGAATATTTCAGGAAAATATTGACGATCTGTATTAAGGTCTTTATGTGTGAACTAAAAGACTATTTAATTACACCTTACCACGACGTTATCTCCGCAGTGATGAAACCACACCTCATCTGAACTAAGACGCCGCCATTCTGTTATATCCCTGTCTCGTAGCATATAATAGGTGGCACTTCCAGTGGCCTTCTCGCCCCCAGCAGACGACATTTTTGCCGTCGCCCGCCATGTTGCCTTAAACCAACCACCTTTATTTGGAATTTCTTCCAGTCCCAAAGAGTCTATTAAATCTTTAGAAGTTGTGACACCATTTATCTTTCTGTAATAAAACAGAAAAAATTCTAAAAAAGGGTGTGATAAACAACAGCATCAATGCATATTGTTTTTTGTCATGACGACGAAAAAAGAATTACAACAATACACAAAACAGTATATAAAAAGCAATGGCAATGTTATTGTTAGAATAGGGATGCGAACTTTTGTCTTGTGACATTTTGACCTTTAATTTGTCACCTGCAAATACCTGAGGATAAGAAAATATTTCAAAATAGATTAGTGAAGTAATTGTTTTGCATGCGCAGGTGTGTGTAGAAGAGCCATATTTTAATCGGCTGCACACCCCTGCTGTTGCCAAGCCGATGACAGGTCAGGAAAAGAATTCACGCAGTTTAGTTTCTCTACATTTCAAATGTAATCCCAAAATAAATCCGCGTGCGTTCCTCGAGCCGCGTTGTTTATAATGGGCCACTGCACAGTACGAAATACTTAAGTTCTAAATAGGCGCGCGTGTGCGTGTTTGGTTATGTTGATTATAAATCTATCCCCATGGTGCCATACATATACCTTGGTTTTACTTAGAGGATATAAAAAGGATTATTTGCAGCGACTATGCTTTAAATCAATACTTTTCGATTTCTTTTCTTTTTTTAATTGCTGTTGAGGGAACAGTACGTGTGATTGTATGTATTCGAAGTTACGCCTATTCTGAATATATTGCCAATTTAAAAGGGGATAACCTCTATAACCCTCTGATGGGGTTTACTTACGAATAACTAAGTGTGCACACGACAACCAACGCCACAGTTACACAGACTAAGGCCACGGCGAGAAAGATAGTCCACGCCAACATTCTGCAACAGCAGCAACACGATCGAGACTCTTGTTTCTCGGACGTGCTGATACTCCTCCTCCTTTCTCTAAAAGTGTAACTGCCGTTTGGCTTTCCGTTTTCTCCCGAGAATTGTCTAGATTTCAATCCCAAGTGATCAGATCCCGGCTTTCCTATGTCCATGGTGTAATAAACAACCCCAGGTCCGGGGTGGCTGCCACTATTGACGAGCATCGTTCTATACGGCTCATCGGGATAATATTCCTCTCTGAAAGGGTCCGGCTGTGAATATTGGGGGTAAACCAACCTGGTTCCCCCAGGGCGTGGTCGGGGATCTCCACTCCCCCGGCTGCCTATACGTTGTAAAGTTGCTATGCTGTACGGATGTTTCCTGCTCATAGTGTTGCTATACATCTTAACTGCAGAATGTCTGAATACCAAGATATACCCAGCGCCTTAGTTAGGGAGGTGCTTCATGCGTAGAAATTAAAGCACCTTTAATGTTGCTTTAATGACAGTGAGAGTGAAATGGCACGGTACCCGCCATACCTCCATTTAAAATACGTTCTAAACAGGTAGATTTAAGCCATGACAAAACACTCGAAAGTTTCATATTTGAAAAGATTATCCGATATGTCTCGATGCTTTGACACTCACGCAAATCCATTTTACTGACAAAAAAGAATATATATATATATATATATATATATATATATATATATATATATATATATATATATATATACAGACTTGACATTTAATATGGAATATTTTTTTCGAAATAATTTTTTATCAGTTTTTTCCTATTTTGCTGACTGATAAATGAAAATGAGGATTAAAATCGTGTTTTAATAACTTTTAATTATCTCTTTGNCCCCATTATTTTTAATGCTCACCGAATGTCCTCTCGATCGCTAATTATATTATTAGCAAAAGGCAGGGACTGCGCTGAACTGTACCAGGATGGAGCTAAAGTGAGCGGTGTATACACCATTACGCCCTCTAACGGTACTTCTTTCGGCGTCTACTGCGACATGGAAACGGACGGCGGAGGATGGACGGTAATTACATGCTGCTTCATACAATCAACGTATTATGAGTGACATAAATTTAGTTATACTTCGTAGAATTTGTCTGATTTTGAATAAACTGGGCGGGTACACGGCATTTAGCCCGATCAACTTTTATCAACTGTCAAATGATTCAATGAGACGTACCATGGATTGACATCTTGGCGCTTTTATGTAAAACACCTTCCTTTTTTAATTGTAGCAAGTTTCCTTATGGGCTGTACTTTGCTGCGGACTGAGAGTAGATAAAATCTAAATGTGCGTCTTCATATCCTTACAAATATATAAGTGCGGCATTAAAACCAAATAGAAACTTCATCTGATTGCCAGGTGTTCCAAAGACGCATGGACGGCACTGTTAACTTCTTCCGCGGCTGGGAGGCATATAAACATGGGTTTGGAAATCTCAACACAGAATTCTGGCTCGGTAAGTTGTTCAGGCACATGAACCTATTCTCTTTTCTTGTCCACCTCGATGTCTGCTTATTGCATGGATTCAGCCGTAATAGAGATACTTGAATGTTGTTGGATTGTACATGCGAACTGGCGTTTTGTACAAAGGGTCAACCATGCGCTGTTTTCTCAACTTGATTTTGATTTCGGCAAAAATAAAAGGACGGCATTAGCTAATGAATTGCCTACTGTTTTTGAGAATTCTTAGTAACCCATTAAGGGCCGTGCTGCAAGTTTTCAATTTTGAAGCTTTTCGAAGCAAACGTAGCGACGCAAACATGTCGCCTTTGCCAAAGATACATGCACGGCCATGGCGCTTTCGCTTATTTTGAGGTGATTTGAAAGCATGCATATTCCTATGATGCACCTAACCTTACAGTACATATGTCTAATTGCCTTACAAGGCAATGAATACCTGTACCAAATGACAAACGCAAGACGCTACGAACTCCGTGTTGATATGGAAGACGTTGCAGGGAACAAAGCTTACGCCCAGTACGACTACTTTGCCATCGGATCCGAGAAGGAAAACTACAAGTTAGTAGTGGGTGTCTACAAGGGAACTGCAGGTAAGATAATAATAATAAGATAGTTCGTCAACTTGTACGTCAAACTATTGAAATTTTTATGGCTCGATGAAAACGCACTTCCTTTGCATCTTTTAGGTCTGCACGGGTGACTCGTTAAATTTCTTGAACAGAAATTCCACGTAAAGCATTAAACTATAAATCTATTTTATTCTAGGCGACTCGTTATCGAGCCATAATGGATACGCCTTCACAACGAAAGACAAAGATAATGATAAATATTCCTCAAACTGTGCCGTCCGGTATAAAGGCGCCTGGTGGTATAAGGCTTGCCATGCGTCCAATCTGAACGGTCTGTACCACCTTGGAGCTCATAGCTACTCTGCTGACGGCGTAAACTGGTACGCATTTAAAGGCCACAACTACTCCTTGAAAAAAGTCAACATGAAAGTTCGCCCAGTTGACTTCAAGTCAGCTACTACTTTCATCGGTTGATTTTTTAAATTTAATTATTTGGTATAAGTGTCCCATTCTGTATCGAAAGTGGTACTGCTAATGAAATGTAATAACTTTCAAGCAAGTGTTGTTCACATTTCTTCACGAAGCTCATTTTTTGGCTAAGTGTAGCTATTATAAAATACCATGTTGTACGCGTAATAATTTTTCCTAATATAGTGAAGGACACCATACACAAGTCCTGGTCAGAAGTAATCTTAATTACTTAAAATATTCTATACATCAAATGTAGCATCTGTGTTGTCAAGGAAAACAACATTATGCTCTTAAAATGTTTTTGTCATCACGATTTTTTCCGTAAACCATGAAATAAGAACGTTACTATTTCGTTTTCAAATCATGTTGCGTGTATTTCCATAGTAAATACGAAACACGCAGTTCCAGCACATACGTATTCACCAAATATAAGTTTTTTCTGAGTGAGGCATTATTCTGCTAATATCACAACATGGACGTGACATCGCAAGAAGATAAGTCCTCAGTTCGCAAATGAATCTGAAGAAAGTCCATTTGTTCACTTTTTACAACTTATTTTATTTTTTTTTTTTTTTTGCTAGTTCCGAGTGAGTTTTCGTATAAATGTCTGACTCTCTGTATCTGGGAAAAGAGTGGACAAGTAAGTCCTGTTACCGTAGACAACCTCCTGGGGATCGTAACCTGAAAATGAATTATTGATATATCAAAATGGTTGTAGCACTGATTCCAAAAACGGAAAAATACATACATCAATATGCTATGATGTGGACTACGTGTTACATCAAATATTGTGAAGTATACTATCAAATTAAGCACAAAATATTTCTGTGGGAGCTCGCCTGTTGTAAGTTACCTGTGCTTGTGTGACGGGACCAGCATGTTTAATCAACAATATCGAACCAAAGAAATAAAGTAATGGCACAGTGTAGTTCTATCAAATGCATTGCGGCACTTTTTTTTACCTGGAGATGAAACAACACTCATCAGAGCGTAAGACCCACTATCCTTATTAACGAGTTCAGCAGCAAACCACGTGTATCTTGAAATCGGCATTTGGAACTGCGCACGCGTGTCCACTGCGTGGTCCCCAAGTATGTATGTGGTATGCTTGTTCACAGTGGAGTGAGACAGTGTGTGAATCTGCATATCGAAAACATTATAAATACTTTAAAGAAGCAACCCAGCATGCACGTTACCCGTCGATTAACGAAATATCGACGCTAAAACGACGTCGAGTGCATGCTGGAAGAAAGGGATATGAGCTCTAAAAGCGTCAAAACTCACAAAAGTTATTATTGTTTACATAGTCCTGTAAAGTGTACTTTTTTTACTTCTAAATGAATATTTCACGAAAATATTGACAATCTGTCAGGTCTTTATGTGTGAACTGAAAGACTATTTAATTAGACATTACCACGACGTTATCTCCGCAGTGATGAAACCACACCTCATCTGAACTAAGACGCCGCCATTCTGTTATATCCCTGTCTCGTAGCATATAATAGGTGGCGCTTCCAGTGGCCTTCTCGTCCCCAGCAGACGACATTTTTGCTGTCGCCCGCCATGTTGCCTTAAACCAACCACCTTTATTTGGAATTTCTTCCAGTCCCAAAGAGTCTATTAAATCTTTAGAAGTTGTGACACCGTTTATCTTTCTGTAATAAAACAGAAAAAAATTCTAAAAAAGGGCGTGATAAACAACAGCATCAATGCATATCGTTTTTTGTCTTGACGACGAAAAAAAAGAATTACAATAATACACAAAACAGTATATAAATAGCAATGGCAATGTTATTGTTAGAAAAGGGATGCAAACTTTTGTCTTGTGACATTTTGACCTTTAATTTGTCACCTGCAAATACCTGAGGATAAGAAAATAGTTCAAAATAGATTAGTGAAGTAATTGTTTTGCGCGTTCAGGTGTATGTAAAAGAGCCCTATTAATCGGCTGCACACCCCTGCTGTTACCAAGCCGATATCAGGCCAGGAAAAGAATTCACGCAGTTTACTTTCTCTATATTTCAAATGTATTCCCAAAATAAATCCGCGTGCATTCCTCGAGCCGCGTTGTTTATAATGGGCGACTGCACAGTACGAAATACACAAGTTCTAAATAGGCGCGCGTGTGCGTGTTTGGTTATGTTGATTATAAATCTATCACCATGGTGCCATACATATACCTTGGGTGTAAGACCTTGGTTTTACTTAGAGGATATAAAAGGGATTATTTGCAGCGACTATGCTTGAAATTAATACTTTTCGGTTTCTTTTCTTTTTTTAATTGCTGTCGAGGGAGAAATGTGTGTATGAAATTGTATGTGTTCGAAGTTACGCCTATTCTGAATATTTTGCCAATTTAAAGGGGATAACCTCTATAACCCTCTGATGGGGTTTACTTACGAATAACTAAGTGTGCACACGACAACCAACGCCACAGTTACACAGACTAAGGCCACGGCGAGAAAGATAGTCCACGCCAACATTCTGCAACAGCAGCAACACGATCGAGACTCCTGTTTCTCGGACGTGCTGATACTCCTCCTCCTTTCTCTAAAAGTGTAACTGCCGTTTGGCTTTCCGTTTTCTCCCGAGAATTGTCTAGATTTCAATCCCAAGTGATCAGAACCCGGCTTTCCTATGTCCATGGTGTAATACACAACCCCAGGTCCGGGGTGGCTGCCACTATTGACGAGCATCGTTCTATATGGCTCGTCGGGATAGTATTCCTCTCTGAAAGGGTCTGGCTGTGAATATTGGGGGTAAACCAACCTAGTTCCCCCAGGGCGTGGTCGGGGATCTCCACTCCCCCGGCTGCCTACACGTTGTAAAGTTGTTATGTTGTATGGATGTTTCCTGCTCATAGTGTTGCTATACATCTTCACTGCAGAATGTCTGAATACTAAGATATACCCAGCGCCTTAGTTAGGGAGGTGCTTCATGCGTAGAAATTAAAGCACCTTTAATGTTGCTTTAATGACAGTGAGAGTGAAATGGCACGGTACCCGCCATACCTCCATTTAAAATACGTTCTAAACAGGTAGATTTAAGCCATGACAAAACACTCGAAAGTTTCATATTTGAAAAGATTATCCGATATATCTCGATGCTTTTACACTCACGCAAATCCATTTTACTGACAAAAAAGAATATATATATATATATATATATAGAGAGAGAGAGAGAGAGAGAGAGAGAGAGAGAGGTTTAGAAGTTGAAAATGGTGTAAGTGTTGCTTGTCTTTGTGGCTTCTATCACAGTATTATTATACTTGTAAAAGAACATGCTGGGTGAAACTTACTGCAATGTAAACGTGAAATGCATTAAGGCAACACTTACGAAAATGCGACAGTTGTGATAAAAGTGAGGGCCACCAGGAGCATTAGCACAATTACCACCAGTATCACCACACAGGGCGTGCATAGACAACGTCTCTTTAATGGCATCGAAGGTTCCTTTTCTACTTGACGCTGATAATCAATGTTTTTGTTTTGCTTCACAGGGTAAACTGAACTCTCGACAGTTGGCACGTAACCCTTATCTTCAAGAAATATCGCTGGCAAAGCTTCACTGCTATGTTCCCCATCGTGCATAGATACAACAGGTTTGGAAAAAGTTACAGGTAAAGATTGGATGGATGATCTAGATTCTGAGTAACCATTGTCACCGCGATAGATGTGTTTATTACCGAAGGCCGCTCTAAACTCTTTGCGGGGAAGCTGGAGAGAGCGAGTGTCATAGTCGTGTTCATCTAAATGACGTCCGGGAGAAAAGTGACGTAAAACGGGAAGCGAATAAACTGACGAAGGCCTCTCTCGTCTGTCGTTCCTATGGACGTAGTGGTGAGGCTCCCAGGAAAGATCTGGAGCTATCGCCGCCGAATCGACGATAGGTCGACTGGGTTGAATCTCCCTATTGCCCCTGTACGGCACTTCTCTGTAAAGGTCGCCAGGAAGAGAGCGAATAGAATCGGACCTCTCGCATCCACCGACGAACCGAAGGGTTGGCTTACGTCTGTCGAAGTTGTCGTCCGCGGAAGACTGGTCCACCATCACCGAAGCTACAAAAGGCTGACCTTCAGTCTGGACATTCCGTTTCATTATTCTAACCGGTTTGTGAAGTCCCCTGGGAGAGAACGAATAGAATGTGTCCTTTCGCATCCTCCTGTGCGATGAAGAGTCGGCCTTCGACCGCCGGTGGGAGGGTTGTTGACCATGACCGATGCCACAAATGGTCTACCGTCTCCATGGAGTGCCTCTCTGGAGTTATCTATCTCTTCCGGCACTGAGTATAACACAGACATGGTGTCTGGAGGGAGAGTCCTCTTCTTAAAATATATCAATATATCGCTGAATTTGATGTAATACCTCTGATTTTCTCCTCACTCTGTCTTTCTGTGAAGTATCGAAGTGTTGCTCTCTTTAATCTTTGCACTAGACATGACGTTTCGCTGTTTAGTGAATAAGACGCCCTCGAAATACCCACATAGAAGGTCTACTTGACTGTTTCACCTGCTTACTTTTGTGCCCAAGTCTCTCTCACTCTGAAATCTAATACGCACCGGATCGGCCAGTCCTGGTATCAGGGCATATACCTACTTCAGCAAACAGAGGGAGAAATGCTAAACTGTCGAAACTGGTTTTGTGAAATAAGAGAGGCGTTGTGATTTTATCCGAACCCGCCTTCAGTTAACGCCCTAATAAACCGCCAGTAAAACAACGCCAAGTGTTTACAAAGAAAACGAACGTGAATAAACAACTTTGTACCATAGGTAGTGTATTCAGCCACGCGACACAACACCTATAACTTTTATCAAGTTTTCCCTAACAAAAACAAAATATGTGTATATCTGGGGCTGGTCCAGGTTGCCGTGTCCACAGGTGCGTTCAGACGGGCAGAAACAGAACGGAATGTGCGGCAATTTATTTCACGATGAACGTTGCGCGTAGCATTCGTGCTCATGTGTTAAAATTTGCACCAAACTCATTAACTTCAGTAGCGGACGGTAGAAAACTTGCGGTCAACAGCCCAGCAAGCTGACTGATGAAGTCAACGTGAATGCCGCAGCAAGTGTTTAACTTTCATATTTGTGTGAACGCTTCATCATCAAAATGCCGTATCAGCCGACGTATAAGGGTCAGTGTATTTGAAAGCCCTTTTGTTGGGCCAAATCGGTGTCATTTTCAATAAAACAGGTTAGGCTGCTCAATGACCAGGTTAAAATTTTCAATATGAGCCACGTACTGTGGATTATACAGGTGGACATTTGTTATTCAAGTCTGGATGTGTGTTTTTGTGCGAGTAATTTTGTTACCAGTTCAGCGCATGTCGGTACAATATATTATACCCTCTTCTAGGGCCACAGATTGATTTTTCACCAGATATCCACAGATATGTCGCTGGTTAAATTGACGGTTATTCTTTGCTCTGTGATAAATAAAATGTGCAGCTGTGGAAGAGGGTATACAATATACGCTTATATCACCAAGTTTCCGTTCATGGTTTTTAGTGGGATGAAGGCCGTGCCCTTCATCTATATATGAAGAACACGTAAGAGCATCATTGCAATAAGCTGTTGTATGAACTAATGAACTTTTCCGATATCTTGGCTGGTAGTTTGTTCCCCGACCTAGTTCTTTGGTGCCTTTATCACTTTTTAGTCTTGGCCAACACGCATTTTATATCTGTTTTTGTCTTGAAAAGGAGAAGAATAAGTAGAATAAAATAACAATGATAAAGAGAAATAAAGAAGGGAAATACAAAGAAATACAGAAAAAAGATTTTTTGCTGAAACATGTTCCCGGTACCCGGTTCATTCCCCACGTACAGACAGATCGCGGGAAGGGGACAGTCAAGAGAAATTCTGATACACTAACAACCAAAAATTATTATGAGTAAACACTCGAACGTATCTAAAATGTGGCAAAAGAAGTGAATTACAGTGCAAGCGCATGGACGAGTTATTGGAGAAAACTTCACAAACTGGACCCCCCCCTGCCCTTTATTTGAAATCCTGGATTTTCCCAATTTGGGTGAGGGAGGGGAGAGGAGGGGTCGGGTCTCTGGGATTGAGAGGGGTCCCGAATTTATGTGCTAAGATTAACATACTGCGAGTGCGAGAACCAAGGGAGGGAGAACACTGACATTTACATAAATTAATTTAAACCTACACAAACAATCTCAAAAATGGTTTGATGAAAATAAAGATATTACAGAAACTGCCGGAAATTGTTCAATTTCTTATGTGGACTATATAATTAAACTATTTTTTTTCTTTTTACTTTTTTCAACTGTTTACAATAACTTGGGTTTTCTTAAGTAAATACATACATCTTGATAAGCTGAGATAGAGATGATATCCGACAATTCTATAAACGCGATTAACGGGACGCAATTTTACCTGGGGCGCCGACAAGCGGGTCTGATAGTTGTAGATATTATCTTCTTCTGACGATTTGATAACCGAGCCCTTTTCCACCGTAGGTGACCTTTTACTTGCTTTTTTTCTGTTGGATATTTACAAGACATTAAATTTAAATGTCACTGCAATGTTCATTCACATCTTGATGATTTTGGGTATATTGTTTCTCCAAAAGAGAAGAGGTTCTATGGTGTAATGGTTAGCACTCTGGACTTTGAATCCAGCGATCCGAGTTCAAATCTCGGTAGAACCTAACGTTTTCTTACTTTTGACGTGAGGTTTTCGTTTTCAACAGCCAGGACACGCAACCAGAAGAAAAAGATGGACTCGGTCCACTATATCTCTATATCTTTCCTAGATTATAACTGATAACAAATATCTTCTGAAAAAGAGACGGAAATGTGGAGACTGCAAATGGCCATTAATTATAACTGTAATTGATTTATATTTTTCTTTTTGCCTTTCTTCTTTTTGAATTTTTTTTAAATCTCTAACCTGCTGGTCAGCCTAACTTTGATTTTCCATGCAGGACGCCTTGCGGTGTCTAAATGTTTGTAATCTCAGATATTTTTATTACTTCGTTTTTTTGTTTTTTTTTGGACAAAATGATCTTATACCTTGCTAATGTTTTTTGTTTACTTTCCTCTTAAGCAATGAACACATTTTCTGGTCAGTTGACCTGACCATCTAAATACAACACCAGTTACCTGAATGCAGCTGACATGCTGTGCTTCACTTTAGAAAGCTTACGTTCTCTAGGTAGCAACGTAGTACTTTAGACCACATTTAGGATGGTTATTCTTCCGACTGTCAGAAGTCATGTTAAAAAGCTCATACGACCGAAGTGAAGAGATATTTGTTATTAAGTATTTATTCACTTGGACCCAATGGCTTTTATTTATCATTTCACACGGACCAGCTTTAGATAATTAGGTCAAAGTCTCGTTATCATATGCTATCCCGTCGTGCAATTTACACATTTATCCTCCAAAATGCCGACAGGGAAGGGCAAGGCGCCTGATGTCTTCAGGTATCACTATGCAATTGTTTCAAGGATTCCTAATAGTTTTAAGGACAGTAGCTTAAAACAGAAAGAACCGGCGAAACCTATCGATCTTGAGAAGGCGCGTCAACAACACGAAGAGTACGTCGAGACGCTGCGTAAACTCGGCATCGATGTGCTGGAACTTCCACTCGATGAGCGACACCCCGACTGCGTTTTTGTGGAAGACACCGCTGTTGTTATCAACGGCACAGCACTCATATGTAGACCAGGGGCATCGTCACGATTAGGGGAGGTAAGACATAGAGTTTGAGGCGTGGTTCTGACTGTGTGGCGTCGAGGAAAAGCGCACACCCCCGCCTTGCTTACTTAAACGATCATATGCAAAACCCATCATCTTAGAAAACTGGGTCATTTTTAGCGTGGGTCTGATAGTAGTGATAGTAAACAAGGGCGCTTGCTTCATGTATAATGAGCTCCCAGTGGAAATGAGAAAAAAAATTATAATATGAAAATAAAAAGAGAAATAGCTTACACCAAGACGCGTGTGTAGTTTTGAAAAAGGTAGTTGGCTTGACCATCTTACGGTAATCATGTTACTGTCACTAGTCACCATCTAACAGGAAGGGGTCATCTGCAATATCAGATTGAATGACTCAATATTTCATGCTTTGGCCATTAAAAAGATTACCTTGTTTGGACTTCTTCCATATAACACGTGGTTGATAGCATGAGTGCTGAAACTTCACAGCATGTAAGGACATTACTGGTAATCAATCTGAAAGCATAACTAATCAGCCTTACTTTATCTTAAGCAAGCAGTTTTATTTAAAATCTCTCTCTCTCTCTCAAGAAAATTGAAAAAATATATTTTTAGTAATTCATCAGTCACATTTTATAAATAGGATGTTAAGCTTTTGAGACATTAGGAAAAGCTTAAGATGACTTGTGAATTCTAGCTGAAATATACTTTAAATTTGTTTTTATAAGATCTTCAAGTAATCATCAAGATAATATAATTATACTAAAATACCAACCAATATTGCCATTGGTGTGTAATTGGATATCTGACATAAAACCGTGAAGAGAAACCATTTAATTACATTACCTGATAGCAAGAAGAATACAGGAAGAATGCAGCTGCATACATTATTATACATCTGTGGTCAGTTTATTGCCATGGCAACCAGTAAGTGGACAACACGTCTGGTATGGATCAATGGTTTTCTGCATAATTTTTATGTGAATTTATGTAAATTGTGCATTACTGCACCATAATTTGTGACAACATTTGGACAAAAATTTATTAAATCATTGCTTTGTTATAATAGCTTAATAGGATTGATTAAGAAAATTTGGATAGCAAATTGGGTTAAAGTTCAGAGAAATGATAAAATGTTGTGAAATGTTTAGGAATCTTTCAAGTTTGTACTGTTTAATGAAAATGTTCCAACATTGTACACACCAGCCTTTTGCATATAAATTTAATGATATCTAGCAGGCAATCAGGATTTTATAACTGTCTTGACCATGGCACATTAAAAATTTTCCTGTTTCCAAAATTAGAATACTATAGCAGTATGAATTCCATAAAGTTTAGTTTTAATCATGCGGTTAAATTCTTTGTATGTATTGTTTATCAAGCATGCTTCCTTCTTAGAAACTGACTGATACAAGGCATAGTAAATCATATAAAAGAGCTCAACCATTACAGAAAAGGGTCAAGATGATCTTTCCCATGTAATATCTACAGTGAAACAGAATTCAAATCCATCCTAAACAGTCTTTTCATATAGAAGAGATGGCTTGCAAACTTAACGCAAACCACTCCACATAATGAATGAACATGTATGAAATAATTTACTGATTTCTGTTCTTTCCTTCTTTATTAGGAAATTATGTGTTTTTTACAATAGAAATTTAAAGCATAAAATCATAGATTATAATTTATACCCATCTGTGATACATTTGATTTTTATAAAATCTTTTCAGCAGATATCACGAAGCAATAATAAAAAAAAAATTCTTAGTAATGTATTGTAGAAATAAGATGTATGCTGTTGAAAGTCAGGTTATTTAGCATGGGAGGGTTGTTGAACTTTACGAGACCGTCTCACCCACTGGGATTCATTAATTGAACCTCATAGGGAAAGAGCTCTCTTAGAAAACATGCCTGGTTCATCTTCTTGGCTCATGTCATGAATGCCGAGCTGCTGCGAGGAAATTAATTTTGCTGTTTTGGGGGTAACTTTTCTACTAATTGATGTGCTTCTTGGTTTCCAGTCCTTTCTACATATCATGGAAATTCCCATTAAGTCCCAAATTTCCCCTTTAATTTCTTTTTCATAAAAAATGTACATTTTTTTATGCTTTAAATTAGAATGAAGCAAATCAATTTTAGTATATTTATAAACATTTGCTGAAACCATCTGACATCAGTGAGTTGTCCAAAACATGCTTACTAATATTACCTCATTGCAGGCATTAAAAGAAGGTTTTGTCAATATGTACACAGGAATACTTTTGATAAGATATCAGCACTAGTATTATCTGCTTTTCACCTGTATATAGTCCAAGAAAATCACACTGTTTTATATTTGCCAATAGGCAAGAACAGCTAATATCTTGCATTAATAGTGTGCATGTGTTCATGGTGTTCCCTTGGCCAACAAACATGCAGGCATTTCGGATGTTTTTCTGTTCATGGATCGCTTTGGGTCAACACAGTAAAAGGCTTGGACATTTGACAGCTAATTTTACTATACAGGGATGGCAAAATGTCAGTCTCTTAGCTCTATAGAACATAATATATAGCGACACTTCTCCTTAAATGCCAGCAGGAAATTAATATTAGAAGAACACCAATCCCTAAATAAAAGATGATGCACTGGTATTTTATCTGCCTGCCAATTTGTTAATGCCCAGATAAAATCTTGACAAGATGGAGAATCACATAGGCAAAGTTGGTTTTATTGATCACCCCCCCCCCCCCCCCAGCAGATCAGCTCCCCACTCTGTCCCCCAGCATTCACTAAGGTGGACTACTGCTGAGCTGGAGACTGTCTGGAGACTACATGCACTACAGAGAAACCTAGATCTAGAGTTTTATAGCCCCAACTTTTTTTTACCAAAGGATGGTTTACTAGTGAGTATGTGTGTGCTCTTATGAATGACTGACGAACAGTTTGATTTAGGTGTACTTTACATGGATTTATTGGTTTAAAGTTTGATATTTAGGCTAAGAATACTATTCAGCCTTGAGGCCTTACTCTGGATCAGAAACAGGGCTAAATGAAGTTATCATGAAATCCAAGTTGATTTCCAGACTAATCTAAGATTTAGTAAGTCTTAGTGAATTCTGATCATGAAACAATAATTCAGTATCTATACCAAGAAAGGGTGTAAATGTGATTTTGTAGCATAAATACAGTTTAATGGTTTGATATGAATAACCATAGCTATTTTTCAGAAACTTTTCAACCATCAATATAAATTTTTTCTGCGTACTAAAAAGACCTATACTTTGTGTATGAAAATATTTTTTTACTTTAAGCTTAGATTTCACTTTCTGTAAAAAAAAAAGCATTTTGAACAGGTGGTAGTAGTTTCATTACTAAAAGGTCTATAACATGCCTGTAGTCATAAGTTCAAAACTTAAAAAATTAAAGAATCTGAAATTCCATGTATTTGTTGCTACAAGGGCCTTAAAATTGTACTCAGCATTTGTCATAATACCAGCCTGATCCACCTGTTTACAGGTGTCATGTTTTACCTGAGTTACCCAACTCTTAGGAATTTATGTCTTAAGGCTTGGAGGGTTCCTAGGAAGAAAAAGTACACATTTGCTGTGGATAATTTCGTTGCCTATCACTCATTTGGGAAACATTTCATTTTAATGCACATCTGTTAAGTAATAAATTTGATATTAAGGGGTTATGAAAGAAGTTCTGATATCTTTATTGTCTTTAAGATAAATACAAGATAAAGAAATGGTAAGATAAACTTGAGTAATTCTTTGATATTTGCAAGGAGTTTACATGATAAGCTGGTATATAGTAGAAAATCTGTCCTGATATTCGTGCACAGTAGACCGAGTTGGAAATCTTCACCTTTACCGCATGAGTCATACCAGCAGAGTGTGGTGTAAGTGGGGTTATGGTTGTGTCACAAATCTGCCTGGCTTTATATTTTATATGTGTACAGTATGTATACTAGGTGAGTTGTGGGGGCGTCCATATCTATAGCCGTTGTGTTAATGTTGGGTAAAATGCAGTGCAAGAATTAAGAAGCTAGTCTGGTCTGAGACTGATATGTAATGGTCTGGCAGTGAGATTGATTTTTTATGTATATATATATATATGGCAGTGAGATTGATTTTTTATGTATATTTATGTATGGACTAAGGGACATGTTTTTAAATTTTTTTTTTTTTATTATTACTATTTTTTTTTTTTTTTTTTTGGGGGGGGGATGTTGGCATAGGGGTTTTATAGTTGTGTCAAATTGGTGTAGAAATTCATGAAAAAAGTGTCTACCTTGAAAGTGATGTCTAGCAGTTGAAGGGCTGTGGTATGTGAAGACGCCACCTTTTAAGTCAGCCCTGGAGTTCAGCTAAGATTATTTAATGTGCATACTATATACTGGTATGATTTTTAAAAAAGATGACCGTTTGATGTGCTGACACAATGAAGATTGAGATTTAAGTTTTAACTGCTTGAAATTATCAATGTCTGAGATTCATCAGAAACTGTTTATCTTTCCGTAGGTTTATTGGTTTACAGTCAGCAATATGTGCACTTTTTCCTAATCTCATTTATGGATGACTTCAGTCCTAACCATCTGTCTTTTTAGCCACACTAAGATCAAGGCTTTGTTATTGTAATCCCGCAAAGACCAACGTATTGTGGGGAAAGCTAAATACTTAAGGTTGACGTATGCTAAAAGTGTCTGGGGAATGAAATAATTTTGTAACTTGATAAATGGTTTGGAAGAATTACAAGCATTGTGTTTAGGAGGAATGCAGCATAACAGTGAGCATTGACCATGTTTGAATGAACAAATGTTCTTATTCATCCATTAGAATCAAGAATATGAAGTGAATCAAATACTAGAACTTGTGAGGTAAAATTCAATGGGATTTGGACACTGGGGACAATTCCAAGCAGTGTGACAATGAATGAGACGACCAGGTCATCAGAGCCATAACTTGGTGAAAGGTGTCAGGGGTCGCTTTCAGAACAGTGAACGAACTTGTCCGAGGGTCGAATATGGCCAACCCACTGGAATACTTCCCCA